GGCGAGAGAGGGGCGTACTGTGTCTAGTGCCTAGTAGTGTAAATCTATGCTGACAAGGTATTGACATCCGTTGGCCACAGGGGACATGGATCTGCGTCTATTTAAGTGTCTTTTGTTGGTGTTAGACCAGCGTCTGATGTGCCTGTGTAGTCTAATTTGAGAGTGATAAGCTTTGCTACACCGATTACCTTTGGAAATTTATTGTGCAGGGGGCATTTAAAGCGTTATTTTATGTCTTACCCTGCGTTCGTCAGAGGCTATTTTCATTTGTCGTTCTCCTCTGAGTAAGTTGGGGCACAGAATCTGTCTCAAGAATGAGTAATCCTATGCTAACTCCTCCCAAAAGCCAATGACAATGTCGAGGGCCTTCGTGTCTCTTTTGCAGACATTGTTGAATCTTATTCAAAATGTTATCTACAGTCAGAGGTGAACTTAGCAAGAAATAAGCCGTCAAAGTTCGGTGACTTCCAAAGCTGTAGTGTCCTTAGAAACAGAAAATTTAGTTTGTTTGCCTTCGATTAACTTTGTTTTCAGTAAAGTCCACACAGGAATGAGTTTTAAATGGACATAAAGGGCTTTGGAAAAAAAATGGATAAAAAATGCCAAAACAGGAGAAAAAAAAAAGCTGATATCTTCGAATCATTTACTTTGAAGAGCACCTAATTTCATCTCGACGTCCCACATAATGATATGCCTCATTGAGCACATAATATGACCAAAGTAAGAGGAAGTCACCTGATATCAATTCAAAGCAAGATTTCTCCCCACGGATGTCCTACAGCATAGTCTACCCTCACCCCTGTCCCCCATCCCGTTCCCAAATAAAACTAATTCTCACTAAGGTGGCGTTGTAGTATACAACTGACCCCGCACCATGACCTACACGACATACATAACAAGCAAGCGCACACCTACATTTTCAATGAGAGTGAGAGAAAGAGAGAGAAAGAGACAGAAGGCAGAGAGACATCAAGGAAGAAATACAGAAATTTAAAAAAACAACCCAACATACAAACTGATTTGTCGGAAAAGCGTAGCCAGCCAGTAAGATATTTTAAGATAGTACATCATCATCATTGTTGTCGTCCTCGCCATTGTCGTCGTCGTCATCATCACACTACAACATTTACTTTCATCGCTTCACAGAATAGCAAAGGCAGCAACATGCCCATTTAAAAGTGTTTTCCGCGAAATACGCTAAGGTGACTCACAGACAGTAGAGACCACGGATCTGCATACAAGTTCCAGTAGCTCCTAATGAATTGCCACTCTTAAATAACAATAATAGATTTTGTTATATAAGTTTGACTTTGAGTGAAAAGAAGCACTTCTTATGTAGGAAAGATCTAACTCCTAGCCTTCTCGGATAAGGGCGAAAAAATCTCGGAGGTCCCGTTTGCGAGTTGCGCACGTTAAAGATCAGTTCGTGGTCCTAAAATCGATAAGAGTAGGCTTCTACCGCCATCTGAGTAAAATTCAAAATCCCTAGCAATATTTTGAAAACATTAAATTATGTATTCCTAGCGCTCATATGAACTTACGGTCGAGTTCATTTAGGGCAAACACGGAAAAAACAAGACAGATAAACAAAAACAACGGAGGGAAAGAAAGTCTGACATACAAGTGGGATCCTTCAACTACCCACTTAGATATTACATTATTCTTCTTGTCATTGCTTAACGTTGTGAGACACACGAAATGATGACTCGCCTCTCCTCTCTGTTTCCGGTCTGTGTGAGTGGGTTAGGCTGAGCCCTCACATTGAAAATACATGAAACTAATCAGGCTGGCGTAATTCAGGGTAAAAAAGGATGTACTGATTTCAATATGCTTTAATATGGAAAATCAAGAGAAAACTCAAGCTAAGTCACATGTTCTGTACTCACAATCAAATTTACGGGGAGTCAAAAAGTAATGCAAGTTGTTCGTTATTTTGCACAATTTTCCATCAAATTTAATGAAATTCAGCTCACAAGTACTTGCTCATATGTGAGGCAGCGTGGTGGAACCAGGCTCTCGTCAATTTTTGGGCATTTAGTTATTGGTATCATCTTAAAGCTTGTTCACTTGTCTTTATTTAGATGAATAAAAATGTCCATTTATCTTGAATACAAGTCGAGATATTTGCGAAAGAAGGAGGTGGGGGTCACCTGTTTTCAGAGGCAAAATTAGCGAGAAAAAGGCCGCCAAAGATTAATTATTTCCATAGTTTAAGAGTCCATGGTCAACTGAAAATTTACATTTTTTGAACCTTTAATTAACGCTTTTCAGAAAAATCCTCAAAGAAATGAGTTCTTTAATGGGTATGAAAAGTGTTGGGCAAAAAAACACACATAAATTTGATAAAAATTCACACAAACCTGCGGAAAATGCGCGTTTCTTCACTTTGATTATTTTGATGAGAGCCTGATTCCACCACGCTGCCTCACATATACTTTTGAACTCATATTGTTAAAATTTATGTTTCTTTAATTTTAACCCGAATGGCGTCACATCAAAATGGCTACCCTCTTAGAGGTCTGTCAGACGTAAAGAGCAGTGATTGAATTCCGTCTTTTAGAAGGAGAATCCTCCGTTAACATCCAAAACTGACTTCAAAATGTTTACAAGGACCAAGCTCTAGATTTTGGCACTATATATAGTTGGGTCAGACGTATGTGTAATGAACCGGAAGAAGAGGAAGACGTGTCCATGTGCTTATCCGCAAACATTGTCCCGAGGAGTCAGCGAGAGAAATCATTGCAATTGTGTTTTGGGACGTTCATAGCGGCTTCTCACATATTTATTTTTACCACAAGGAGCAACTGTCAATTCTGAACCCTACATTGACACATTGAAACGAATGAAAGCGAGAATTGGACCAGTCCGACTAATTTGAACATCGACAGAGTGTTATTTCACCATGACAATGCCAGCCTGCATTCGAGTACCAGAACAAGGGAGATAATCAACCTGTTTATGTGGAAAACACTGTCCCACACAACATATTCTCCTAATTGGGCTCCTTTAGACTTCCACCTTTTCGGTCATAGAAAAGAACCATTGAGAGGTCAACACGATTGAAATGATGGAGAAATCAAGACGGCTGTATCCCTACGACCAACCTGCTCAGTTTTACGAAGCTGGCATAGGTGGACTTAGTAAAAGATGGGCAGTGGCTATTGAATGAAATGGAGACTATGTTGAGAAATACAAATCTGACCTTCAGATGCTCCCCTTCAATTTCAGGTATGATAGTTGCAAGTGTGTTCTTTTTTCTTTAAGTTATAAATGAACTTGCATTACTTTTTGACTCATCCTGGGTAATTTACTTCCTTTCTTACTTAGTGTTCAATTTGGCCACCAGCAGCAGCATGGGCAACATCAATGCGATAAGAGAATTCATCCCAAATGCTTTTCAGCATATCACAGTCCACTGACTTGATCACAGTAGTTATTCGAAGTCATAGGGTTAGTGAGAAGCGGTGAAACATAACACAAATTTTTACATATCCCACAAGAAAATAAAAATCATACTCGGTGAGGTCTGGGGATCTGACAGGCCAAGAACAGAGAGAAAGGTCTTGGGCCCCTTTCCGACCAACCGTCGCTTGGGCACTTTTTAATTCAAATGAGCTCAAATTATCAGATATCAATGGGGCGGTGCTCCATCTTGTTGAAACATAAAGTCATGCAAATCTGCTTGAACTGATGTGCAGAGCCAGTTTTGAAGTATTTGGAGATAGGTTTGTCTTGCAATGCTATTTCCTTCAAAGAAAGAACGACGCAACAACAGCATCTGTAACAGCTATTCAAAAGTAAGATAACTCCTCTTTCAAATGGTCACTGACTCACTCCATAACTTTGCTTGAGAACTTAAGAAGTGAGTCATAAAATCGGTTCATAAAAAAAAAAAATCAGCTTGTACTTTGAGCGAAATGAAAGGTATTAGGAAATTTTTCTGGGAAATATTATATTATAAAAGGGATCTTGTTTCAGGGTCACTTTCAATGTAGATTTTTGAATATTGTGAGCCTACATAAATAGTTGCTTGGTTCGTGTGATTTGACATATTTCATTTTGCTAGCTTTCTTTTTGTTCAAACGGTATATTATTCACAGTTATACTAACTTACTTACCGTCCAGCCATCCGTTTTTCGGCGTTTTCTGATCCCATTTTTTCTGAGAAAGGCACACACACATTAACTCACACCAGCTCACACACACACACACACACACACACACACACACACACACACACACACACACAGAGAAACACACACACACACACACACTCAAACCCACAAAACTACATACCCGCACGCGCGCACAGGGAGAGGCAGAGAGAGAGAGAGAGAGAGTGAGAGAGAGGGAGGGGAAGAGAGAAAGAGAAAGAGGGAGAAAAAGAGAGAGAGAAAGAGAGAGGGCGGAAGTGAGAAGGAAGGAGAGAGCTACAATACTATATAAAGAGAGAGACACAGAGGGGAGACGGAGAGAGAGAGAGAGAGAGAGAGAGAGAGAGAGAGAGAGAGGGAGAGAGAGAGAGAGAGAGAGAGAGAGAGAGAGAGAGAGAGAGAGAGAGAGAGAGAGAGAGAGAAAGCTGTAACTACGAGGACTGAAATATGCTACTTGTCCTTTGAAAAGATTGTTTCTGAACTGAATATGCAAGACTGAAGCTATGCGTGCGCATTTCTGATTATTAGTTTTTGGTGGCTTGGCAAAGTTACTACGTCATGCTAAGGCTAACTTCTGAACAGGACACATATAGCGGGTGAATGGGGGGTGCTCTGGTGTGGTTTGTTCCTTCGTTCATTTAAAACAAAGCCCTGATCTTTCCATTTTCTTTTTCTGTTTGTTGTTCTCTTGTTTTACTCCTAATCTTCGGCACTTACGTGACACTATTATGTTACAAGTGCCCTAAAACTCTTACCGAAACTAAAACCAATGGACACACAAAAGAAACAATGATTATAATTAGTTGCGAGTTACCTTTAGTGGATTTACAACGACCTGATCTCTAGTTAACCGAGCCGGATCTGCATCTTGAGTATAAATGTTGGTGAGAGAGAAATAAAAATAAACGCCTTTGTCTTCCCATCATTTTGTTCCGTTCAAATTCAGACTCGGTGCTGCGGCAATAAAACAAGGTACGTGTAAGTTTGTTTTAACCAAATCTTGAACTAAAAGACCATTGTCGTATCATCGTGATTCTCTTTACCAAAGACCCATGCAAGTCTCTTTTGCCTTCCCGTCGTATTCGGCTGCGCCCCCTTTCGATGGAAGGAAGGATCTGTGCATTAACATCAACTGAAAGTCATTGGCCTACAATATTTACACTCTACTGGAATGAAGCAATAAATCTTGAGAGAAAAGTGACACATTATGTGTTTCCAAGTTGCCAAATATATAATAGATGCATAGATTGATTCTCTATTCTATTCCGCTTTCGTGGTTGTGCACTCCATAATTTCAAGTGTGTGATAACAGTGCGCACGGCTAGTGAACGGAAGCCTCACTTGTTTACAATGGGGTCTTAAAAGAAGGACTTTCCAAAGAATAGATCTGAACGAACTAATGAAATACTAAAAATTAAACTACAGTGACTTCAGGCTCCTCAATAAAACGGTGCACCCTTTAAATGAGTCTGAACCACCATTAATTTGGTCAAATTCGAAAGTTAAGTAGTTCCGAAGTTTAAGATGGCCAAAGAGACGGACTTTCCCAAATATAATATGCATAGATAGATATGTGTGTGTGTGTGTGTGTGTGTGTGTGTGTGTGTGTGTGTGTGTGTGTGTGTGTGTGTGTGTATGTGTTTGTGTGTATGTGTTTGTGTGTATGTGTATTAGAATCGTTATCATTATTAATAGTAGTAGTATTACGAGTATTATTATTATGATCATTATTATTATTATCATTCATTTTATTTATCAAGTATTTATTTATTCCATAGAAATTAAGAAATTGCTGTACATCTTAATATGTTACGTTCTATGACGTTTCCTATTTCAACGGAACACCTCTGACATGTTTTAAAAATGTAACAGAGAATACTATATTTAAAAAAACCTCTTGCAATTGAAATACAAAAGATTCAACTCAGCTACTACATATACTCACAAATATGGCTTTTTTCATCCTTGCGACACGGATGAAGTCATAGAACGTGTAGAGAAATGCATTGAAAAGTGAAAAATGGATCTCGGAAAACAATTTAATGCTGAATAAAGAAAACATTCTGTATGGAAGTTCAACAAATCTTAAAGATGTTAACTGAAGCCTGTTAGAAATCACAAATACTAGTATATGCTTTTCAAACAAGGCCAAGAACCTTGGTATCTATTTAGATTCAAACATGTCCATGAACATACAAGTAAATCATGTTATTCGATGTATATTATATACCTTGATCTCAGAAGAATAAGTAAAATAAGGCACTTGATTTGAACCGATATTACAGGCATGCTCTCTGTCTCTCTAGTCTTGTCAAAACTTCACAATTGCAATTTTGTTGTCTTGTATTTCATGTGAGAGAATGAGGAAATTGCAGGAGGCTGAAAATATCATCGCAAAGCTAGATCTAGTACTGAAGAAAAAGAAGAATGATCCTGCTTCAAAAAAGTTAAAAGCTCTGCCTTGGCTTCCAGTTGATAACATTCCAAATTAAAGTTGCTGGAATTCAGAGCATTTACAATCTTTTTGTACTGTATGTTTTACCACTCATTCAGGATCCCAGATGTCCATTCCATAAACAAGATGCGGAAGCTATTTCTTGGATTATTGTTGTCAACATATTTAAACGGCTGCCCAGGATGCCTAAGAAGTAGCTCTGTTTACCGTTTAGGTATGTATTTAGATCAACTTTTCCTTTGTTTTCTGGGTTTTTTTTCTGGTAAGTGTTTTACGGCATTTGCAACTGCATAAGGTCATGTGAGCGCGCGGAACACATTAAACATTTGCAGTTGGTAAAGCTTACTCTTATCGATTTAAGACCACCAAGGGATCTTTAACGTGCGCAACTTGCACACAGGACCTCCGAGATTTTTCGCCCTTGTCCGAGAAGGCTAGATGTAGATTTTTCCTACCAGAAGATCAGGGGTGTGGCTGAAAGACAGCAGTAAGAGTGAGCCAAGGAGAAGCAGTAGAAAGGCTGCAGAAAAAGTTAGGAGCCCAGAGGAGGGGCAAATGAGGTGAGGGGGTGGGGGCAGAAAGTGGTGACGAAAGCAGACGACAGAATATTGCTAAAAAGCAGGAAAGGAGGTGACAGGAGATAATTTTAGATAAGAAAATTTTCCCGTCGCTACCCAGATTCGAACCCGGGACCTTTGAATGCGAGGCGAACACCTCAGTCTCCTGGCCACGAGAGCCCCTTTGTATATTTTTTCTTTATATTGCAAATAAGTCAAATGCAGGTTAGAACATTTTCTCCAATCACCATGTTTTGCAAACATTGACTTTTCGTTTCATCAGTCATTTTGTCCATTCAGTTGGCTGTATTGTCTGTAACAATGTACAAGCACATCTTTGGTCAGTTCAGCACAATTTATTAGTCCAGTGACGTCGATAGCCTAGTGCCCATTTTACCGGATCCGTAATCAAGAGTTCACACGTTTTTAAAATTGATACCCTGACGACTTCCAAGTTAGGATCGAATATAATGCATTCGTGTTTGAAATGACTTTCGAATATAATGTTTGTTTTCATACATTATATGTTAAGTATTGTCTCATGAATAAATGAACTGAAATCACTCTCTTTGTTTATTCATTGGTCAGTCTTGTTTTCTATGAGCTTACATTAAAAATATAATTTTTAAAACTGTCATGTTGTTCTGTTTAGACATGGCTGGCAAGCTTACTTTCTTCTCGTAGTTCACCATTTAAATTGGCACCAGCCCCATATCATCATCATCATCATCATCATCATCATCATCATCATCATCATCATCATCATCATCATTATCATCATCATCATCAAAATCATCATCATCATCATCATCATCATCATCATCATCATCATCATCATCATTGCAAACAGAGAATAAAAAAGGTTGAGACGTGGAAGATTTAGGATTTCCAAATTTTTAAAATAATATAACTAATAAAAAAATATGTGTTCAACGTTTCGCCTATGGCTTCATCTGGAACTTTTGAAAAAAAATAATGATTAGATTAGAACTACACTATGGAAACACATACGGCACAGTCACAATGCCCAATGGTGCTTTCGAGAAACTCCTATCGGAAAGTCCAAAGAAAGGGAAAAGCTATGGTAAGAAGTGGCAAGAATATTAAGTATAGGTACCGTCATATCATATTAATATGCTGAGTTGCAAAAGTTCTGCAACACCCGTCGTACTACGGTAATTTTCACTAAAGTATAAGAATTGCACTAAAACTGAAAATGTATGACTTGTGTGACTTCTGAGACTCTTAGTGCATGCGGAGATCAATGAAATCATAAACCGGAAGTTGTACGTGAGCCAGGTGTGGGTATTGTTTTCTCACGATATATGGTGAAATCAATACATCCTGCAATCACAATTTGCTTTGAACCACACAGACAGCATGAAAACACACCTTACGCTTGATGAAAATCAGTGCTTTTTCACCGTTGGGTTTTTTGTTCGCCTTTTTTCAAAATAACAGAACGGACAAATGCAGAACGTGAATGCGCTGAGCGTATGATAAATTCTGGAATTGAGTTTTCTACTGTTGCAAGACAAGTAAATGTGAGCAGAAGAACCATCTAACTGTTACATAGCATTTTAATACCACTTGAACTGTCAAAGACAGATCTAGACGTGGCTTACCAAGGGCGACAACTAGACGCCTGAATTGGATTAGTGTCAATGCTGAAGTTCTAACTAAGTGCAGAGACTACCAGGTACTTCGGGCTTTCTTAAAACAACATTATCAGACACTTATGTGGCCCTGGATTGCGTTATTATCCCCTCTGTGTGAACTTATTTTAACTCCGTTTCATAAAAGAAATCACCAAATTTGGGCACTCAAACATTGGCGAAGGAACCAGAGAAGTTGGTAGAGTGTTCTATTCTGCAATGATCCAGGTTTTTAATTCGTCGCATTGATGGAAGAGAAAAGGTGTTAAGAAGAGGAGGATAGAGATTTCACAAAGCCACTCTCCACCAAACAGACCGATTTGGTGGCTGCAGTGTGAATGTGTGGGATGGAATCCCTGCTCTTCGTCATACACATTTGGTCACTATTCAAAGCAACTTCAAAGAACGACTACACTGTAACGAAATTCTTCGTCCCGATGTCCAGCCCTACATGGCACGATGATGGAAAATGCCAACAGGACAATACCCGACCCCATGTAGCCATGATCAGTCAAAACTCTTTCCAAACTTATCAAATCAATGTTCTGGACAGGCCTGCAAGATCAACAAGTCTTAACCCTTACAGTACATCTAAAATAAGACTTTGACTGGAGGGTTAAAAACTGGCCACACCTGTGCAAACTCGCCAGGAACTTGAGGCTACACTTCACAAAGAATAGCAAGGAATTCCTCAGGCAACCATAAGGATATTAATTCAGTCAATGAACAGACGTTTTGTAGCAGTAAATCACGCTGGAAGAGGCCACACGCAACACTGAGCAAACTTTGATTTGGATTTTTCATAGGTTAGAGTGAATAAAAGTATCTCCTTTGAATAAGGAAAGATACTAGCTAATTCTCTTTATACCATGTTGGCAGAAGATGAATGAAGAACATGTGCACCAAGTTTCGCTCGGGTATGTGGAACAGTAAATGAGTTATTGTACTTTGAAGGTGGGTGTGACAGAACTTTTGCCGCACGGTATATTATATTTCTTATTTCTATTGCAAAGTTAATTAGTAGTAGTAGTAGTAGTAGTAGTAGTAGTAGTAGTAGTAGTAGTAGTAGTA